GTGTGAGGTGTGCGTGCATGTATGTGTATCTGCCTCTCAGGTCGACACCACTCTTCTAAAATGCCTCCTAACAGACAGAAAAGACCTTCCGGGTGTGAAAATACAACTGCTTGTGACAATTTTTCTGTGATTTAAAAGATGCAAATGCCTGATCATGAGAAACATAACAGAAAGATTACCAAAATAGATACTTGGGCTATCTGAAAGTTATTAGTACCTTCTAGTCCTTGCGACTTTGAGAGAGACCAAATTTTTGAGCCCAGAGCACAGGTGAGATGGCACAGATCTATGATTCAAGAATCTGAACTTCTGCTTTTACCTTCTGAATAAGTAATTATCCCACTGGCATGGACGACATGGTATACTACATACTAATACTGATCTGGTATATTTTTTAAGTGATACCAGTATTTGTTGGTCTTCCTTAGTCCTACTTCTAAAATGTGGGTATTATTTACCTTAATCTTGTTCAATACAGAAATTATTTGATTTTACATTCTTACATGGAGTTTTTCCACACCTTCACACTACAGCATAAACGAGACCTAAGTAGTATAACCAACATTCATATATGCTCTACTTGTTAAGTTTGTGCTACAAAATTCATACCCAGCTCTAATGTCATCTAAAGAAGAACGGGCTTTCTCCAAGCACTTCTTCAGGTCTTCTTCAGTGCTCGCTGTTCTCATTTGATCCAAAATTTTATTCAGATTAGCTTCCATCGTCTATGGCCACATAAAACGTACCCAGTAAAAATGATTCAGTAATTACTAAAATGCTTCATAACTATTTAGGATTCAAATAATTGAATTATGTACATGTATTCCACACTAAGAAGGGAAGTTACCTTACCAAAACTTTTTTGTTTTGGAGATCTTTCATAGATAATGAACAACATCTCTGATGCTGCCACGCCAAGTTGCATGATATACCCAAAATATAAGAATTTGACATAAAAACAAGCCTCTATACCTGCACAAGATCTTACACGTAACAGAAACTTGCAGCCACTTAGCACAGAAAATATAATCTTTATTACCACTGCCATATCAAGAATAAGATATGAATGCTCAATAAGTGTGAATCAAGCCATTGGCAAAAAATGCACCCGACAGGATGAAACTACCCTGAAGAAATTCCAGTATAAACGTCAAAGATTACGTTTTAAATTTTATACCAGTTATTTTGAGTTCCAGAGGGTTGTCTGCACTAAGAATTCCTTTCTTTACATCATACTACATCCTTATTCTTATGTTTATACCTGTATTAAGTCATCCTGCTTCCATCTGCATTCATTTAATTTCTTCTGAAGTTCACCCTCTTGCTGGGACAGTTTGAGTTGATGGACATCCCACAGACCCATAGCATCCTGAAAATAGCTGTACAAGTCTCTACACTTCCACTCATTCTGTTTAGACAGCTCCTCAAAGTGTCTCTAAAAAAATACATTTAAGTGAAACAGTCATTATTAAACTGTTTGCTGGAAGGTGAAATAAATGAGTAAGGGTACACATGACATGATAAAAGTCTGTCTGGGTGGTCTCTTCTACTTGAAGAGGGAAAAATAGTCCAAGTAAACCGGACAAAATAGTCCAAGTAAACTGGACAAGAATGTGGATTTTTGTTCTAGAAGCTGAGATATCAAAACTTCCTTTTATTCTTCTGGTACTGCAAAGCGCAGAATTAACAAGTTCTGCATATGCCCTGAAGTATCTGGCCATTATTTTAGGAACGACTGCCCAGTCATTTTCATGTACAGAATCACAAAAGATAGAGTTGAAAGATTTGGGAGATCATTTAAATCTATCCCTCTGACTCCAAGCAGGATGAGCTATACCTAATTCATCCCTGACAACCTCTTATAAATATAAACCAAAAAATTATGACCTATTCTCCTTGAATCTCACCAAACTTCTTTATTTGTGAGGCAGCTGTTCAGTCACCCTATGGACTCTTTCTAACGTGACAACAATAGCCTAAGATGCATATTTCAGGCGGTAGCGCAGGAAGAACAGACTACTCCCAGAGAACAACAAAAATAAATGTAACAAACATACATCCATATGCTCCAGTTCTTCAAAATGACTTTTCAATTTCTCAGTCAACTGAAGTAAGTTAGAATTCATAAGTTCTTCAGCTTCACTTTTTGTGCAAATATTCAGATTCAACAGGTTATTCTAAATTAAAAGAATACTACAGTTATTGACGTGCGTATAATATAACAAATATTGTGTGGCTTTCAGAGAGTATGGCTAAACTTAGTGTTTCTTCTTTTCTTGTGAATGGACAGAGAAAGATTCAGCCCCCTAGATCACACTTTCCGTTAGTAAATAGTACAAATCTATTTGGACACAAAGGAAGACCCGAGGCAGAGAGGTGGAATTTCTTTCCCAAGATAAGACAGATTCAGCACAAAGGCTTAGGGTTCTGACCCTGCATCTTTCACTTCAACGTGGGACAGTACTCCTTTCATTACTGGCATTTATTACTGCTTTTACACATTCCAAGTACAAATACCACATGCTACTGTGAAACAAAATGCACGGTAAGTTTTCTAACAGAGTAAGACAGAAGTCAGAAAGTAATTTTATTAGTTATCGCAATATTTGGTGGATCCTCAAATCCATATTACGGTACCACCATATTGTGTACTGTTAGCAACAATCCTTCCAAGAGTTTGTAAAGCTATGATTCTAACCTTGCATAACTGCACTTCTGCCAAACATTTTTGCTGGACCATCTCATATTGGATGCGTAGTTTCATCACACACTGCGCATTGTGGTTATCTGGAGGATATGGAATAACAGACCATTGCAAAGATTTCCATATTTCACAGTGCAGGGTGAAACGGAAACACAACAGAGGACCTGTGCTGAGTCTCGGCACAGGTAATATATCCCACTAGTGTCTTCACACTTGTATGACACTATCAACCAATAAAACCAGATGTTTTAATACAGATCTTTTTATCATTATGCTTAAAAGTGGTGAGTTACAATTGCTAGCAAATTCTTTGCTACTGTACAGGCTACAAACATTAAGACAGGCTGAGCAGAAAGAGAAGGCAGACACGGAGAGGGAAGGCACACTACAGAACTCGGAGCAAGGAAGCATCGCAAATACTTCCCCTGACATTCTCCAAGAGGTAAGAGGATTATTTTCGTATGATTCAGAACTGATCTGCATTAAAATTAACCTTCTATTTTCCCCAGATTAATTCTAACCATGTCAGTTCTTGCCAGATCTCACCATGCATCAATGCTTGTGCTGGCGAGAGGGAGTTGATGCAATAGATGGTCCTATTGCTAGCTCAAAGCAACTCAGAAGGTACACGGGAACACACGCAACATAGCTTACAGCAAACATATACTTTCATAGCAACTGTCCAACTCATTACTGCCTGGAAAAAAAGAAAGAAAGAATGGCTCAAATATCCAGGCTGTTTTTATGATTTCCCAACTTACCTATACTTTTGTTTAAATCCACCAAAGATCCGTACCATTCATTTATCTCGGCTTTTGTGTGTGTTGGGGGCAAAAAGTCACTACCGAAACAGGAAAAAAAAGAGTCAGATATCTTCAAATATAGTCCTGTCAGTTCTTAAAGGATAAAATTATGAATTAGAGTAACCATACTACTTTGCTCTATTTTATTTACATCCACATCAGCAATGAAAATAAAACGAGATGACTGCTGTTTTTCAAGCCCATTGCCTACTGACAAGGAACTAACTGTAATCTATCCTGTTGCTACATACATTGTAAAAGAAAAACTGTAAATATTGTACTGCATTGCACCCAAACCATCTTCTTGTTGTCAGGATGGACATTCAAACATCGCAGTGTTAGATCTCTATCAAGAATCCTTTCTTAATTTGTTATAAAAACTAAACTCCCACACATAAATAATACCTTGACAAGATCACCAATTTTTACTTATCTACCCATCCTTGTCTACCCCTTTCTGCTATGTGTCAAATGTTAGTAAGATTTACTTTTGTGTTCCTGCATTTCCAGCCCTTGATCACCCCCTATTTTGTGTAACTGGTACACTGATAACAAGAATGCATTTTTTTTCCATTAAAAAGAGCTTTACCAAAGATGTTTAGCCCCTTCTTTACTGCCACACTGTACAATTGCACAGTGAAATGCAGCAAAGTGCATATTGTAGTCCAGTCCCTCATTAACTCTAAAAAGAATTCTATTTTCCTTTGTTCCTGTTCTCTCTTTTGTCATACCCAAGCTGCTGCAAAAACTTCAGTCTCCTTTCACTAAGTAAAATCTGATCCATTATCATATTTTGCTTTTCTGTTTTCACAGTTGGGGGATCCTGTATTTCTTCCTTGGCTATAAATTCTCTGTAGGATGGAAAAATATACTGAAGTCAATATCTGTTTGGGAAAATTTCATGTTTGAAATACAAATACAAAATATGTTTTATACAAACCAGGTAAAAAAAGAATGTTAAGTTCTTCTGGAGTTTTATAATGGAAAACGGATAAAATATTACCATTTATAGAAAACACAAGTGAATAGTAGTCACTTTGTACTATTCATACTTCAGAACATAACTGTAAAACTTCTGACCTGAAACTGTGAACTACACGGTTCTTTTGGATGAGCTTCCAGTACTCGACTCTGTCTTGCCATCTTGATCGCTGTGATAATTCCCTCTTCATCTCTGATTCCATCAGATTAAGGAACAGCTTGGCAATTGCCCTCTGATTAGCCAACAGTGCTCTGTTAATCATCTGTGTGTTAGAAAATAAAAACAGTAATAAAAGCAGCATATAACATGCAAAAAAAAAATTTGCCTGTTCTACATAAAACAAGGGAAAAAGAATACAAATTATAAAGAATATCCTGCAAAATAGAAAACTATATTGCAGTGATTGATTGGTAGAAATAATGAATTTCAGTTGGAAAAAAAAAAGACATTCTGGGAACATTCAGATTGCTACCTTTTTGCAGGTAAAATAGACTCAGCATGAAAGATTTACCATGGCCTCATCATTCATGAACCTGTAAACATCAGCTGACAAGAAGGCGGCTATTTCCTCCAGTATCACAGTATACTTCCTCAGTACATCTGTTATCTGTGCAATAAAAGAACACAGCAAAAAAAAGTGTATAACTCAAATGTCAGTTTTCCACATGAAGCAAATATGTGAACAAGACAATTTTTCTCCACTAAAATAAATTCAATTGGCTGATAGACAGCTTGAGAAGTGAATCTTAAAATACCTACGTTAAATACTGATTTTTTTAGTAATTCATAAAAATAGTAACTAAAAATATTCCATTTTGTTACTACTCCACTGATTTCTCTTCACTACCTGTGATAATTGAGTGCTCTGCAGACAGGCTGCAATCTGAATTTAAAAATCAACAAACTTCCTTTCAAATATCTGTAGTGAATCCACCAGTGGTTGTCTTCAGGGGACGTGAAATTTTAAGCAAAAATGTGGTCACTTCTGGCACTTTGCACAACTAATCAAACAGAAAAGTTACTGGTGATACTGTTGGACGTAATCATCATGTCTACCTTACAAAGGGAGGACAAACCGACACAGGTATAACAGATAGCTTTTGTTTGCCTACAAGGACAAAATAGCAAGGACTTCCTTATGGACTATCCACTTACTCATCCAAACATTTCCTGTGATGTCCAACGGCTTTTACAGGTCAGGCTGAAGCCTGTGTAACAGTAGCATCTCTGCTACTGATACCCAGCCTACCAAACTAAAATTAGCTAGGACACTTCTGTGCCCGTTCTCAGCTGCCGAAAAGGTATGTCCCAACAAAACAACGTGAGATCTGGTGACAGTTTGTCCCAAATAACCCTGCAGAAAATAGAAGCAGCTCACATACTCCTTGCATCTTTAGTACAGGTAATTGTGGAAGAAACAAACACCTTGCAACTGGAAAAGAAGTATCTTCTCCTGATTATGTGGGTATGAAATGAGAGAATGATCTATCGATTGTGTAGGTAACCACCTACACAACAGAACCCCTGGCAGACCTCACTGACCTCTGTGGAAACAAGCTGCACTTTGCTCTGCATCCAGCACTATGAGCAAATAATAATAAGCTTATGCTTAATTGACAGCTATTAAAATTACAGCTCACTTTATCAGCTCGGCTCCATTCAACCTTTTTTAAGGATTCATCCATTTCCCTAATCCACCTCCTTCTGGTCAAGGATTCCTGATGGATGATGTTCCACTGTTCTTCCAAATCCTGCAAGAAGGATTTACTCACAATCTCACTCAAAAGTAAATGTCAAAAAACCCCCCGACCAAACAAACAAAAAAAGGCCCCAAACCAAACAAGCATTTATATCTTAAAACTACAGCAAGATGTAAGAAGCTATGATACACAGGCTGAGTACAAATAAATGAAGATAAGACAGTGGCATGAGCTGCCTTACCTCAGTTGAGAAATCTCCCAGAGTAAGGTGAAAGTCAATCTTCTTAAACAGAAGTTCAATTTTTCTGTCAGACTCCATCAGTTTTGCCTGAAGGAATTTTCCAGGCTCCAAAACAAAGGGCTCCATCTCCTAAAAAGGTACGGAAGTCAGTCTGATCATTTGAATATTAGGCCCTGACGTTAGTATAGCACTCCATACTATCTGGATTACAAACTCCAGCCTTACCCTGCCAATGCAGGCAAGCTCCTGATACATTGCGGTTAGTGCTTCACGATGACGGCCTTGCCGGCGTTCTGACAGGTGTTCCAAGATATTACCCCCCGTTTTCTCAGGAACTGCCAAGAAAAATGAGGATGATGTAGCTTGGAACTGTTGCTGCAGAATACATAACACACACACATGAATCCCTAAATCCACACTGAGACCTCTGCAGTTTGTGCAGCTTTTGCAGTGCGCGACAGCTTTCCACGGGAAGGAAAATCTATGCAAATGTACATTAAAAATAGTAAAGCATATTTTAAAATTTCTTTTGATTTTATTAATTTGTGACTTTCAGAAGGACAAAAGCATGGAAGCTATGAACTAAGTTCAGGTATGATGAAAAAAATGGCAACATTCAGGAATGAGATCTGCTTACATCATAACTGGAATTTACCATCTAAACATAAAGTGTGATTGACTGACAATTTTACAAACATTTTTTTTGTAGAGAGTAGACTCTTCACCTTCAAAATTACTCACAAACCATCAAAAATGTGTCAGGTGGTTTCTGAGCTTGATTTCACACCTTGTTCAGCAAAAAAAAAACATTATATGTATGGTGGCTCCTAAAAACGCAAATTAAAATATCTGGCATTAGGTGAAATAAATTTTACCAATAAAATCAGGTAGTGATCTGACTTCCTCAGCTGCATTTACTTCTACACTTTTCCAAGCCTTTGGAAATGTTGTAGCTTCTCTGAAAGAGAATAAAGCTTTGATTTGTACTAAATATGTAAGAGTAGGGAACTGCAATTGGTGTCATATTCAATTTAATTGGCAAAATGTAACATTTAGGTGAACATAAGCATCATTCTAACTTTAAAGAATATGGTTCAAAGAATCACAGAATCACAGAATGTTGGGGGTTGGAAGGGACCTCTGTGGGTCCTCTGTGGGTTGGACTGGGACCTCACCCAGTCCAACCCCCTGCCGAAGCAGGGTCACCCAGAGCAGGCTGCACAGCACCGCGTCCAGCCGGGGCTGGAATATCTCCAAAGAAGGAGACTCCACAACCTCCCTGGGCAGCCTGGGCCAGGGCTCCATCACCCTCAGAGGGAAGAAGTTCTTCCTTGTGTTCAGCTGGAACTTCCTCTGCTTCAGTTTGTGCCATTGCCCCTTGTTCTGTCGCTGGGTACCACTGAAAAGAGTCTGGCCCCGTCCTCCTGACACCCACCCTGCAGATATTTATAAACATTTCTAAGGTCCCCTCTCGGCCTTCTCTTCTCCAGGCTAAACAAGCCCAGCTCCCTCAGCCTTTCCTCACAGGAGAGATGCTCCAGTCCCCTCCTCATCCTCGTAGCCCTCCGCTGGACTCTCCCCAGTAGCTCCTCATCTTTCTTGAACTGGGGAGCCCAGAACTGGACAGAGTACTGCAGATGTGGCCTCACTAGGGGAGTGTACAGAACTAATGTTGCTTCTTCTGAGATGAACTGGGCTGAATAATCACCTACCCTGGGTTGATCACAAACTCACATCTGCTATGATGGCATAAAAAGCAATGAATGCTAGGTTTAATACGTGTAAATTATGAAGATTTACATACTCTCTCTGAAAGGTAAAAAAAGAAAATCTATGAATTGTTAGGTAAGAACTAGCTAGCAATGTGGAAATAGCCTTTATCTGCCCACTGCTCTTCCCATCAGCTGGGGCACTGCATATCTCCTTGGGGCAAATAAGAACAAGGGTGTCATCATGCGGCAGAAGAGTTAGGGTGAAAAGGATGGATGCCCAAATTTTTTTTCTTGCTCATTACATACTCATTGCTGCATCATCGTGTAAACCATTAACACAATCTAAAATATAGCTCAAAAACATCTCTCAGGCTGGGATTATATCTAGATTGCTTTGAACAAAAAAGACACAATTCTTCTTAAAAGCCATACAATATGTATGCCATTGCAAATATTAATCTGTTAATCTGCACTTTAACAGGCAGCAGCTCATTATTCTCAATTTACATCTGGTAAGGAGACAGTCTATCACACGTCGTTAGTGCTATGACCAAGAATTCATTGCTCCCAGTCCAAACCTTACAACTTCATACCTGTAGTCATCAACACACAATTGGGTTTTCACGCCTCTGTTCTCTACCAGTGGCTTTTCTGTGGAGTCACTGCAGGGCGTTCTTTCAACTTGCTTCTCCCGGTAATGCGGCTGTAGCCTGGCATCGGTAGAAGTCTCAGAATCCCTAACCACAGAGAGCCCTTCACTCTTTACAGCAAAGCTAGTCTTCCTTACTTCATCCAAAAAGCGAACCTTCAGAGAATCACAATCAAAATGGTTAAAATTCTTTCCAATCTACTGAACAGAGAAGAATAACAAAATAATTGATAAAAATAGTGGGGGAAAGGTGGTAGGAGAGAAAGGTAACATAACGAACACTACTTGGCACACGCATAGAAGTTTTCATCCAAGGCTATTTTCAAAATAGGAGAAAAAAATGGTCTCTCTTTCCTCAGAGAGGAAAGCTGAAGCAAACTGGACCGTGTGCCTTGCTGACGGTGACAAGGAAAGTCAGCAGCAGAGTGCGAAATGCCAGAATCTGGCTGACCTGCCTCTTCATTTATCTCGTACTGCTGTGTTACAACGATTCTGCCTTAGGTTAATGTACCCCGACACACAGCAAAGACACAGGAACACCCGTAGACGCATTACAAAGCATATGCTGAAGAGAATAATTATTTCCCACTAAAACAAACAAAAAGCGTAAAAGTTGAAACTGAGCTCTGGTTTGAGGGCACCACTTAACAGCCAGCAAACAACTGACCAACACGATTCACCCAGCCGGCTTTTACCCGTTTTTCTTGTTTTGCCTCATCCTCCAAGCTCCGGCTGCAGAGCGTGCCCCCGGACACAGGGCGCGCAGCCCCGGCCGACGCCATGCGGCCCAGCACTCCCGCCCTCCAGAAGAACCGCGACTTCCACGCGGGGGGCCGCGGGGGAGACAAAACCTTCCAGGCTGCGCGCCTTCTCCTCAG